GCACCAAAACTGTCACACTGGGTATTTAAGTATTTGACACCATTGTACAAAAGTAGGGAGAATAATCTCGATAAAATGACCAAGATTGTTTAACTGAACTTCTACCTGTGGAATTTATTAATGGTACCATTTTTTAAACTAATGTTAATATCCCCTAATTCCAAATATACCTTTCAGATTTAAAATTTATTTTAGGTGACTCAAAATCTACACTGATTAACTTAGTCAATATATTTTCTAATTTCCCAATTACAAGGTCAAAAATAATGTATTCTTGCTTCAAAAAACTAGAGACAATAACAAAGAACTATTACAACTGAATAATAAAAAGACAACCCAATTAAAAAATGGGCAAAGGTCTGAATAGACATTTCTCCAAAGAAGATATAAATGACCAGTAACTACATGAAAAGATACTCAACATAACTAGCCATCAGAGAAATGCAAATTAAAACTATAATGAGATACCATCTCACACTCACTACGATGGCAATAATCAAAAAGATAATAACAAACGTTGGCAAGGATATGGAGAAATTAGAAGACTCAAACACTGCTGGTAGGAATGTAAAATGGTGTAGCCACTTAGGAAAATAGCTTGGCAGTTCCTCAAATGGTTAAACATGGAACTACCATATGACCCAGCAATTCCACTCCTAGGTATATAGCCAAGAAAAATGAAAACATATGTCCATACAAAAACTTGTACACAGATGTTCACACAGCATTATTCATAACAAGCAAAGAGTTGAAACAACTCAAATGTCCATCAACTGATGAATGTATAAACAAAATGCGGTGTTTTCATATAATGGAATATTACTGGGCAATAAAAATAAAGTGCTGATACATGCTACAATGTGGATGAACTTTGAAAACATTATGCTAAGTGAAAAAAGTAAGTAACAAAGGACCACATACTGTATGATTCCATTTAAATGAAATGTCCAGAATAGGCAAATCCTCAAAGACAGAAAGTAGACTGTTGACTACCTAGGAATAGAGGGATTGACGGGCAACAGCTAATAGGTGTGGGGTTTCTTTTGGGGGTACTGAACATGTTCTATAATTGATTGCGGTGATGGACACAAGCTCTGCAAATATACTAAAAGCCATTGAATTGCACATTTTAAACGGGTGAATTATACGGTATATAAATTATATCTCAATAAAGCTGTCCAAAAACAACTAAAGACAACCTTGAGCCACAGTCACCACTGTTCACGTTTCTATGCCCTTTGCCTAAACATCTCTTCTGCCCTAGAAAACTTCTAACTCATCTTTTACCACTCAGCTTACATGTCACCTCCCTTAGGAAGTCTTCTCTATCCTCTCCAGAAAGAGGAAGGCACTGTGGCAATGTGGTACTAAGCACATCCTGGCAACAACTCATATGCCTCCTCCTCAGTGCGAGTCCCTTCAAAGGACTATTTATCTTTAAATCCCCAGAACCGAGCTCAGGACTCATTCAACAAAAAGCACTTATTGTTGATGAAGGAATAAAAGAATGAACACATGAACAAAAATAAATGAACAAGCAAGGACCAAAAAGGCAGAAAGTCATGTTAATGAGTAAAAATCAAGACGAAGCTAAGAAGAAAAACAGATTAGTTCTTGTCAGCGATCAAAAATTAATACTAAAACCTTGCTTATATAAAAGGAGAAGAACAGGCAAATGTATAGAGACCAAAGTTTATTATTGGTTACGAGGGGAGGGAGGGATGGGGGAAAGTAGGCGGGTTACTGCTTATAGAGTACTGAGTTTCAGTTTATGGTGATGGAAAAATCACACTGATTAAGGGTGGGGTTGCACAGCCAATTAATGTAATTACTGTCAATAAGTTGTACACCCGTAAAAAACTGAACTGGCAAAAGTTAAAGTGTTTGATGTATCTACAGCAATGACCAAAAAAAAAAAAAAAGTAACTGTTGAGGCTGCTTAGATATAACCAAATACCTCATAGAATTTGGTTCCTTGGTTTGGAGGTTTAGGGTCATGTTTCCTGGGACATCCCAATTAATTAACCCAATATTGTGTTTAGTGCCTCTGTTCTACTGCCTAGTTCACTGCGTAGTACCTGGGGTCTTAAAAAGCTTGCAAGCAGCCATCCAAGGCACAACAGTTGGTCTCTTTTCACCTGAAGCAAGAGACGAAAGAGAGTCAGGTACAGGAGGAAGAAATGGAATATGTGGCTAATTGTCTCCATGAACAAATGCCTCTTTTGCCATAAGATCAGAAGAACTGGATGGTGCCCAGCTACCATTACTGAACATTTCGATCAAAGATTCTACAGAAGAATCCTGATCAAATGGGGGGAAATGCAGAACAGAATTTCAAATTCTCATGGAATCTAGACTTTCTGAAGCCATGGAGGCTGGATGAACCCCTAAAACTATTGTCCTGAGATAATCTTTAAACCTTAAACCAAAAATATCCCTGGAAGTCTTCTTAAAACCAAACAATAGTTTAGCCTAACTAGTAAACAATGTCTGCCTTGAGCATTGTGCTCTTTTAACATCTATCTATATGGGATCAAACTGACAACAACAACTTTAAAGATTAGGAAAGAAAATTAGGGGGAAGTGAGTTTATGTTAATGGGAGAAAAACAACTCAGAAAAGGAGGGTGAGAATGGGTGTACAACTCGAAGAATGTAATCAATGTAACTTAATTGTACATATAGAAATTGTTGAACTGGCGGTATGTTCTGCTGTGTATATTCTCAACAACAACAAAAATAAATTATATATATTAAAATAAAGTTAATACTAGAGACATACTTTCAGTAGAAGCTGGGTTTAAGCTCTGATAAGAATCTGGTATTCCTTCCAGGGAATGTTCTTGTTCAAAAAGAAATATTCTGTGGAATATTGTGCAGCCAGTTAAAAAAATGTGTTTACAAAGAATATCATGGGAAAATGTTTTTTCCGTTTAAAAGACATTATGCAAATTTATATAACAGTAATCACAGAAAAAAGTAAAAAATAAACTTACGTGTTAAAAATAGATTACAAGGAAATGTATCTAAACGCTAAGAGTAGCTATATTTAGATAATAGAACTCATGTTCTAGAGATCAGGTCTTCCTAGATTCTAGAGGTTTTTCAGGCAAGAGGTGGGCCTGGCATGGCAGGACTTCTTCCCCAAGTCTGACTTTTACCATCTGGAGGTTCTTATAAGTCTCTGGAGACAAGTTCTATATCATCTGACTGACTCACCTGGAAGAGCTGGCTCCTTGTAGAGCCGGCTTAGGCCCCAGAGATATTCATTCAATTATCCAACAGAAACCCAGGCTGGGGACTGGCAAGGTGAGGTGATTAGGGCTGTTATTTATGGGAAAACAAAGGCTTAAGAGGGAAAGAGAATTTTTTAAGAAATAAAAGAACTCAGTAACTGGCTAGATTTGGGAGATGACAGAGAAAGGAGTTAAAGAATTCCAATCTGAGAAGGGAATACAAAAAGGGACAAGAGTAACAAAAATGAAAGCTCTAGAGAAGAGTAAGGTCCCTGGGTGGTGCAAACAGTTTGCACAGGACTACTGTCATTCCTGTTGATTCTGACTCACAGTGACCCTATAGGACAGAAAGGAACTGCCCCATAGGGTTTTCTAGGCTGGAATTTTTATGGGAGCAGATCACCAGGTCTTTTCTCCCATGGAGCCACTGGTGGGTTCAAACCATCGACTTTTCAGTTAGCAGCCGAATGCTTAACCATTGTGTCACCAGGACTCCCCTGAAAGTTGGCAGTTGGAACCCACCCAGCAACACTGCCAATTTTCAGAGGAGTCCTGGTGACACAATGGTTAAGCGCTCGGCTGCTAACCAAAAAGTCAATGGTTTGAACCCACCAGTGGCTCCATGGGAGAAAAGACCTGGTGATCTGCTCTCATAAAGATTACGGCCAAGAAAACCCCATGGGGCAGTTCTACTCTGTAACACATGGGGTCGCCATGAGTTGGAACTGACTCAACAGCAATGGGTTTTTGTTTTTGTTTTAGGGAAGAGCAGGTCAGAGGAGAAGAGTACAATTTCACACTGGACATGTTTCACTTTAAGATACCTACCCAGTGATATAGTCAAACAGACTGTGCCATAAACAATTGTAAATGCATGAAAGAACTCATATAAGGTCAATGATGCTGATGTCACCAAAGCTCACAGACAGCAGACACTCGGGTGGGGACGACTATTGTATGCCAAAGGTAAATATCAAGAAGGTGGAAATATGTCACAGAAGTATAATGAGTAGGCAGGACTTCAAGAGAGGAACGTTTGCCTGGTTGAGTAATGCTGACAGAACAATGAGCTTAAAGTGGTAGTAAAAAGCAAATTTTATGATGACCTCTTCTCTGCCTTATGAAGCAGATGGAATTTGCCTAGAAGTCACAAGTACAATTACAATGCTTGACTTAATTTCCTACACATTTCAATTTTGATAATGTAATAAAATTAGAACTAAAGAACCACATTTGCATAACATTTTACTGCTTGCAAAGCATTTTCTAATACATTATCTCATCCTAGCTCCCCAACAGCCCCATGAGGTAAGTATTTATAATCTCCACCTTATGGATGCGGAAACAGGGATAGAAAGAGGTGTTGTGACTTGCAAGGTCACAAGCTGGAAAGCAGGAGACAAGGGCCAGGATAGATCACGTTTGACTCTACATACTGATCCAAAGTACCCTGAGTCTTCCCCATCTACTTTCGACCAAGGTTAAATATTACCCTATACTGCTCTGTTATGTGGATTATCTTTACTCTCCATGTGTAAGGATTATTTCTTCCATAATACCCAAAACAACCAACTTTTGCACATTTGTTCGTGATTTATAATCATCTCTTTTTCTCTAAGGAAAATAAACTGTACATTTACAATCCTATAAACTCTCTAACTGCTGCCCATGAAAAGACCTACAAGGTAGAAAGAAGAGGTAAGAAAGCAAAGAACAGAGCTAAATAAGAATATAGCATCTAAGAGGAGACTGGAGTTCCACTTACCTGCTCTACCATTGGGTACAAAGCCATTAAACAAAACAAAACAAAAAAACCCGTTGCCTTCAAGTCGATTCCAACTCACACCGACCGTATAGGACAGAGCAGAAGTGTCCAATAGGGTTTCCAAGGCTGTAATCTTTAGGGAAGCAGACTGCCACATCTTTCTCTTGCAGAAGGGCTGGTAGGTTCGAACCACGGGCCATTCAGTTAGCAGCCAAGTGTTTAATCACTACACCAGCAAAGCCACTGGGTGAGGCTAAACAAGTCGGGCAATTGTGCTGAGAGAAGGTGGGGCAGCAGCCTAAGGGTGGTATCAGAGACCATCCAGGTGGAAGAGAGTGCTCATGAGAGCAGGATGAGGAAGGCATCTGTGCAGGAGAGAACTCAGCATGGGGTATTAGGGCCTGAGAGATAGGAGGGCATCCAGAAAGGAGGTGTCAGAGTCTGAGCAGGGTGAGAGCATCCACTATGACAGGCAGCCCAGCCTAGAGCATCAGAGCACAAGAACAGTGAGGACAGCCCAGCATATGGGGTGTCGGAGCGAGGGAGCAATGAAACGGCATCTGCAGGGAAGGGTAGCTGCCTAGGTATGGAAGCCCCTGGAAGGCGAAGAGGGCATCCACATTGGGCAGGTGGTGGCAGTAGCCCCGTGTCTGTTGTCAGAGCATAAATTGGGTGGAGATGGTGTCTATGCAGGAGGGTAGCCCAGTGTGGTTTAAGAAGAACGTCTCCACAGGGGGCAGCCAAGAGCAGTGCTGGAAGCCTGGAGGGCTGAGAAGGGCATTCCTGTGGGGGGGCCAGGAGGTGAGGAGTATAGGAGAGTGAGAAGGGTAAAAGTTTAAAGAATAGGAAATTTACATAGTCTCAAAGTATCTTCTCACAAAACACATACTAACTACCACAGGAAAAAAATAACTTTACAGTGGAAAAACCTGACTAACACCACACCTTAATCAACTGACCAAAGTCAACACCACCAATAATGGGACAAATCAAAATCCTGTGCCACTTGATAGGATGCACTGAGAAGAACACAGCATTACTTCTGTGATACTCCTGCCAAAGATGCATAACTTGAATCTATTCAGGAGGAAACATCAGAGAAACTCAAATCAAGGAACAATCTATTAAAAACTGGCCTGATAAAAAAGTCAGAAAACTGGGGAGAGAGAGGATTTTCCTGAAATTCATAAAAAGCATCTACCAAAAAAAAAAAAAAAAAAAACTACAGCTAACATCACATTTAATGATAAAAGACTAAATGCTTTCCACCTAAGACTGGAAAAAGGCTAGGTTGTCCACTCTCGTCACTCTTAATCAACACAGTACTAAAGTTCTAGCCAGCACAATAAGGCAAGAAAAGGGAACAGAAGGCACACAGTTAAGAAAAGGAGAAATAAAATTCTCTATTTGCAGACTGACATGATTGTCTTACACAGAAAATCAGGGAATCTACAAAAATAGCTCCTACAGATAAGAAGTTCAGCAAGGTTGTAGAATATGAGATTAACAAGGAAAAATCAATTGCATTTCTTTGTACTAACAATGAACAAGTGGAAACCAAAATCAAAAGCTCAAATCCATTTACCATCACTCCAAAGAAAATCAAATACTTAGGTATAAATCCAAAAAATACGTACAGGATATGTATGCTGATATAAAATGCTGTTGAAAAAATCAAAGATCACCCAAATAGCCAAAACTATTTTGAAAAAGAACAAAGTAGGAGGAATAAGTCTATCCGGTCCTCAAGACTTCTTATATAGCTACAGCAAGCAAGACAGTGTGGTCAGATGTGACTGAGGATGACAAAGGAGATTGTCCCAGGGAACATAAACAAGGTTAATTAAGGAATTTTATCCACTGTCAGCGCAGGAAGTTTTCAATATTCATATCCTGCAGAGCATGGTATGTTGATAACTCAGTGACTGTTCTTTCTAATTCTTCCTTTTTCTAAGCGGAAGGATTTGTGTAGTTATCTCATTCCTTTAACCATTGCAGTTTGCTGGGTGTATTCGAAGCAAATATATTCCCTTTTAGCTCTAGGTCACCAGAGCACAACAAACTACAGCCAAACCTGACAGACAGGATTATATACATGAACTAGACATCTTAGAATTTGAGGTAGATGCAATCACTAGAGAGAGTAGGTATAATCTCCCTTGGAGAGATAATGAGTATGTTCTCTGTAAACTGCATACATCTTAAAAAAAAAAAGTTGCCATGGAGTTTATTCAGACTTGTGGCGAGCCACGTGTGTCAGAGTAGAACTGCTCTCCATAGGGTTTTCAATGGCTGTGATTTTCCAGAAGTAGATCCCTCGGCCTTTCTTCCGAGGCACCTCTGGGTAGACTGAAATCACTAACCCTTCAGTTAGTAGCTGAGTGCTTAACCACTTGCACCACCACCACCCCAAAAAAAAACCAAAAAACCACACCCACTGCCATTGAGTCCATTCTGACTCATAGTGACACCACAGGACAGATTGGAACTGCCCCAGAGGGTTTCCAAGGCTGTAAATCTTTATGGAAGCAGACTGCCACCTCTTTTTCCCATGGAGCTGCTGGTGGTTTCGAATTGGCAATCTTTCGGTTAGCAGCCAAGCACTTAACAACTGCATCACAAGGGCTCCTTCCTTAACGTATACATGGAATGTATTCAGATTTGAGCTAGCCCAAATAGTGGACTTCGCACATGCTGTTGGTTAGCAAACTCAGTACCCATTTCTAAACTCCTTCTCCCTTCTCCATTTCCACCAGAGGTTGAAAAAACGAAATCACACTCTCACAGCTTTCCTTCAAGGTTAGGGGTGGCCACTGGAAACAGTGTGGACCAATAAGAGAGGTGGAAGTCTGCTGTGTTGCAACGCTTCTAGGAAAGCTTTTGCTTTCCTGGAAAAATAAAGAGGGATGCTGACGTCAACCCATCCACTTTCTTGGTGCCTGGGCGATGCCTACAACTAGGGCACTGATCTTGCCACCACAAAGGACAGGCTAAGAAAATTACAAAAGCAATAGCCCTGACGTCGTTGGGCTGCTAAATCAGTCAGATTGATACCTACCTCCAAACTTCAGTGGATACATAAACTAATGGGAGAAAAATAAATCACCCTTAGTTTAAGCCACCTTTGATTAGGCTTTCTGTTACATACAAAGAAAAGCATTCCTAACAAAATACACCGGGTAAACCAAAAACCAAACCTGTTGCCGTCAAGTCAATTTCAACTCGTAATGACCCTACAGGACACAGGAGAACTGTCCCATAGGGTTTCCAACAAGCAGCTGGTGAATTCAAACTGCTGAACTTTTGGTTAACCAGCAGGAGAGCTCTTAACCACTGCACCACCAGGGCTCCAAAAATATACCAGGTATATACTTTAATAATGAATAAATATCATTAATAATGATCTAATATTCTACTGATGCTAATAATAAACAACTAGTCTTTCCAGAGCCCTTTAGAGAACTTTCATATACACTAATTCATTTAATAGAATGTGTTACAAGATACATTCCCACATACCATTTCACTTAGCCTCTTAACCTCATTTCCTTTCACTCAGTCAACATGGATTACTGAGTGCCTAATAATTGATAAGAATAAGGTGCCCTGGTGGCGCAATAGTTAAGCACTCAGCTGCTAACCAAAATGTCAGCAGTTCAAACTCAGCCAGCCACTCCATGGGAGAAAGATCTGGCAATCTGCTTCTGTAAAGACTACAGCCTAGGAAACCCTGTGGGGCAGTTCTACTCTATCACATGGGGTGGCTATGAGTTGAAAATCCACTCAAAGGCACCTAACAACAACTATGTATCAGGCACTCTTCCAGGTGCTAGGAAAACAGAGGTGACCAAGATTTAGACAAGGTCCCTGCTCCTATCTAGCTTACTTTCTTGCAAGCAGCTTATTACAAAATGAGACAGATGGGAAATGATCCCTCCCAGCACCAACATTTTATGAGGCAGTGAAGCTAGGTTCATGTATCAACATAACCATCGGGGGGAGGGGGAATAACAATAATACAGGAAGAAGGCTCCTAAATGATGAAACTGACTCTAACTCAGTAAGTCTAGGAGGAAAAAAGTAACAAATACGAAGTTAAAGGTAAAATATTTACAAAATCAAGTACATAGAAAAAAAAAAATTATGCTCATCCACACCCTTAAGTTTCTCCACTCCCCCAAAGTAACTACAGCAAAGATAATATAGACCCTAAGTCTGACTTCAGAGTCCCTGTGTGGTGCGAACAGCCAAGTACTAACTGAAAGATTGGCAGTTTGAATCTACCTAAACGCACCTCAAAAGAAAGGCCTGGTGATCTACTTCCAGAGGATCCAAGAGAAAAAAAAAACCCATTGCCATCGAGTGGATTCCTACTCATGGCGATCCCATGTGTTACAGAGTAGAACTGCTCCATAGGGTTGTCTTGGCTATAATCTATACGGAAGCAGATCGCCAAGCTTCTTCTGTAGTGTCGCTGGGTGGGTGTCATGGATTGAATTATGTCCCCCAAAAATGTGGGTATCAATTTGGCTGGGCTATGATTCCAGGCATTGTGTGATTTTCCCAAGTGTGGTAAATTCTGCCTCTGGGATGTTAATGAGGGAGGATAGGCGGCAGTTGTGTTAGTGAGGCATGACTCAATTTACAAGACTGGATTGTGTCCTGAGGCAATCTCTTGAGCTATAAAAGACAAAAGTGAGCAGTGAGACAGGGGGACCTCATATACCAAGAAAGCAGCGCCAGGAGCAGAGCACGTCCTTCGGACCCGGGACCCTGCGCAGAGAAGCTCCTAGTCCGGGGGAACACTGAAGAGAATAAGGCCGACAGAGAGAAAAAGCCTTCCCCTCGAGCTGACGCCCTGAATTTGGACTTTTAGCCTACTTTGACCGTGAGGAAATAAACTTCTCTTTGTTAAAACCATCCACTTGTGATATTTCTGTTATAGCAGCACTAGATGACTAAGACAGTGGATATGAATTGTTAACCTTTAGGTTAGTAGTCAGTCACAAACCACTTGCACTACCCAGGGACCTTCCAAAAGATCACAGCCATTGAAAACTTTATAGAGCTCAATTCTACTCTGATGACCATGGGGTCACCATGAGTTGACTGGCTGGCTGGTTGGCTGGTTAGTTAGTTAGTTAGTTAGTTAGTTTAGTCTGATTTTAATGGTTGGGAGTGGGAGGGTATAATTAAGCTAAGTCTTAGAGACAGGGCTATTGTTTTAACCTAAGCCAAGAAGAAAGACTGCTAAGCTAAAATGGGTCAAAAGAGTATAAACTGACAAAGTTATGGAAACTGATTTAATATACAGCAGTACATATTTTCTTCTAAGAAGTTTTATAATCTTTATTACAACAAAATCTATTCATGTTGAGCTATACCCAGAAGCAGTTCACTGATTATAAATGCTTTACTTCTTTCTAACCCCACAGGAAAAATAGATCTAAATATTACAAATCACGTAAGAGGAATAAAATACACAGAATGCATTTGAGCCAAATATGTTTAAACATTTATTAAATTGTAGCTTATAGCAATATATTGACTTTTTACACACTATCTATATAAGACTCATTAGAAAGCCCTAATTTTCAGGGATTTGTCACAAGTCACAAAAGATTCAAAGCTTTTCATTAATTTAGTGGATTTCACATATTTCCCTGGTGAGAATTATGGGAACCAGAGTTGATGAATACACCACTGAATTCAATTCTTGTTCAACTAACGAACACAGAAAAGGTAAAATGGATACACACTCAAGGAACACTTTAACTTAATTCACCAACAAACTTTTCTCTAAGAGCATTTTTATATTTGATAGACAAGAGAATCCAGGTTAAGTAATTTGAGAGTTTTTCTATACATTCAAAAGTGGAATAGAATATGTAACTATTTCTAGATTACACTTAAAAAAACAAATTGTCTCATCTAAAATTTATTCACTCTTGAAAAGCTCTACCTTCCCCAATAGAAACAGAATAATTTTACCTAGGGATTGACTTTCTTTAATATCTTTATCTACAATGCTTCAAAGTCTTGTCTTATTGCAACCAAAGCAAAGACAAATATTAACTGAATTGGGTGTGCTAGGTATTCTGGGAAATCATGTTACTACCCAGAAAT